GCTGGAAGAGGCACGTAGAGACCCAAACTAGTGCTGAGATCCACCACCCCTGGATCCACAAGACTTTCTACCCACTGGCCTGTGATCTTCCTGCACTCAGTGTCACTGAATGGCTGTGTTAGTCTGAAGAGGAATTTATAGATTGGTATTGGACATATGGGTTACTATTGGACTTATGGACTTGATCTGGACTGGCTAAGATGTCTTCTTAATATACAATTGCTCTTTAATATAAAGAACTTTCTTATACACATAGGACTGTCTCTGTATTTGTTTCTGTAGTCAGCCTGGACTAACACAAAAAGATTTTTGTCCATTCAGGAAGTTGATGGACATCCAGAATGAGGTTTGTCATCAATCGATATTTCACCTTTTGTGAAACGTGAAAACCATTGTACACTTGAGTTTTTCCAATAGCGCTGTCCTTGTAAGCTGTGTTCAGCACCACAACAGTTTCTGCCGCATTTTTCCCAAGCAGGAAGCAAAATTTCACAGCTGCACCCTGTTCTCTTAAATCAGCCATCACAAAAAAACAAGGTTCAAGTGAAACTGCTTTTACAAAAAAAATTCACTGTGACCAGAGACAACCTTCCCAGGCAACACCACTGGGTGCACTAGCTCAGAGCGAGTTGCTTGATGCTAACTTAGTGGGAAAAATGAGTACTAAGAAAGCTCTGCTCAGTGGAGCTTTTTTCCATTTTGGAAGCAGAGTAACCCCTCATGTTCAAAATGTCAAAAAATCCACAACTTCCCCCTTAAAAACCTGGTTCTTTTATGATCTTCTTTATCACAGTTAATGGGGATAAGCCTTTCAGATATTCACCACCCTTCAGATGAATATCCAAACTCAGAGTCTTCCTTGATATTTCAACCTATCCCGCCAACCTATCACCAAACCATGTGGATTCTGCCTCCTAAATAGCTAATATCTACATGCATGTAAATGTTGCTACTTCCAAAACATTCTGCAAGAAGCAGCCAGAGTTTTATTTTTAAAATGAAAATCCAGTCACATCACCAACCACTTCAATGTCTGTTCATTGCTTCTGATTAAAGTTAAAGCTCTAGATTTGAGGTACGTTCCCTCATTCTGCCCCTCACTCTCCCCTCTCAGGTCTCCTCACAGCCCCCTCACCGCAAACACAATGTCAACGCTGGTGCCGTGGGCTCTATTCCAACCCAGGACAAGCTTGTGTGCCTTAGAACAGAAGTCTGCAGTGGTTGACCTTTCAGAAGTTTATCTTCTTCTCAAGTAGGTGACCAAGCCTTTCTTTTAAAAAGCCTCTGGGTAAACTAAAAAAATCCAACCTTTTGTTAGTAACAGACACTATTAACCATTTCCATCCACCATGGTCCCCTCGAAGTCACCACCATAACTGCACCAGTTTACTTTCAATCGCTTCTATCCACCACGTGCTTCTTTCACATGGTTCTTTCACATTTAGATCCAGGTACCTTCTCTCTACTTCATCTGTCTTAATTCCTACTTAAACTTTCCGATATCACTCTCAGGGATCATATCTTCTCAGGCCCCCTCCCTTGATAATGTCTTTGGTAAAATTAAATTACCATGCATTGCACCAAGTACTACATTTTCCACCATATATTTATAGTTGCAAAAGTATATTTGTTTGAGGGATTATTGATCAATATTTGTTTCTTCCATCAGAACCTCGTATAGGGAAATAATATCTGCAACACCCAGGGCCATCAAATCAATTCCAACTCATATAGGACAGGGTAAAACTGCCCCCGTGAGTTTCTGA